GACTTAGACCGAGAAACAGCTTCCTCTCTTACATCCTGATTTTGTTCCTATAATAATTCAACTTTTTAAATTTGAATCATAACTGCTTCCTCTTCTCCTTCCTAATTTTGAGCATTTTCAATTTTTGAATTTTCTTCTCCTTCCAGGATCCGTGCATCAATTTCTAAATAAGTAGAATCAGGAATTGGTATGGCTTGATCAGCAAAAAATTCAAAAGCATCATCCCGGCAACAGTCATTTGGATTATTATCCTGAATTTGAACCTTTTAAAAAAACATCATCTTCAATTAAGTTTTTCTCCAAAACAACATTATTAACAAAAGATAATTTAGTCTACATAATATCTTTTCCTTCAAGAGAAAGCACGCTATATTAATTGGAATCTTCAAGTTCTGATGAAATTTTATCAAGTGCAGCAAGACGAGCATTTTTTTTATCTTCAACAGTAATCTTACCCAAACTAGGATTACTTTTAGAGAGAATTTTCTACCTTCTATTGTTCTTAAACTTAAGGTGCATCCAAGGACCATAAGAACTATCTTGAGAAGAACTTTTTGGGACTTCATTAACAACCACTTTCATTGATTGAGAGACATTTGGACATACAGAGTCCTTATGTCCAATTCTCCAACATTTAAAACAAAGAGACGAAAGATTTTCATATTCAAATTTCTGAAAAAAAACCTTCCATTTGTGAGAAAAGCTACGATTGAACGAAAATCTACCTTTTGAATCCAACTAAGTTGGATGTGCGGCAGATATTAAGGAAGAGGTATTTGTTGTCCTCATTTTTATATGAGGTCACTAGGACCAATCCAGACCTTATGATCCACCTAGATTTTAGATCAATCCATACTCAAATCCAAGGCTGAAGGCTCCATCCTAAAAGCCTTTTCCAAGGATTTTTCAAACACTTCAAAACCTATTCAAGTGACCTCTGATTCAGAGTCTATTAATTTCATATTGATTTGACATGTCTCTAGAGGGAACACTCCAAATTTGAGCCTATTCTGAGGTCTCTAACCATAAACTAAATTAAAATCCAAAGGTTATAAAACCTTCAAATATTTACAGCCTATGCCACTGGACCTGCCACCTAGTGGATTTCGACCTTGGAGCTTTCTACAAAGCCTCCAATCACTTCCAGGCCCTCGATTACAACTCATTGAATAATAAATTGCTTTTTGTTGGACCCAGTTTGACCCGCAGCTGACTAGGGGTCAAAATGACCAAAATACCCCTTTGAGATTCAAATACCCATTTCAAACCAAATATCCCCCCAAATTGCGCGGAACCTCTTCCACCAAATTTCAAGTATTAAATAAAAACCCTTTGAGCACATTCTCCAATTATTTGACTTTGATTGGACCCTTGACCCAATAAATATTTGACTAAGTCAATTGAGCCTATGGTTGGCCAAGGTCGGCCTATATTACTCATTTCTATGCTCTTGATCAATTCAACCCATTTTAATCAAATCAAACTCTTCAAAGCCCTCAAATCTATCTAAAATATGATTTAAATATTTTCAAATCTTTTTGGAGTCAAATCACCTTGAGTTTCGACTTACTCAAACCCAAAGTCATTATCAAATCATATATTCCACACATCCTTATATCTAATTTGTTTCAAGAGACTCCATAGACATCCCATTCAATGCTTTGATCCCTCTTTGATTTAATATGGATCAAACTCAAGATAAATTGACTAAGTCGACATATTAAGACTTAGCCAAAATAGCTTAAATCGATTCCCATGCATTCAAACCCCAATTTGCAAGCATCAAATCTTTCCAAATCATCACTCCAGCACCCAAGGCATCTCCACATGCCAACTCACAAGCCCATGCGGCATATTGACTGGTCAAACAGTCAACATGGACTTTGGAGTGGTCAAACTTGGTCAAATGACCCCTTAAAGTTAATCTCCATTAATCTAAATCAATCCAGCTGTTAATACAGTCTCTAGAACATTCCTAGGGGCATTCTAAGCCATTAGAACAAGATCAAATGGCTTGAATAATTTCCATGTGCTTCCAAGGACAAAACCCCTTTACACATGGGATGTCCTATTGTCCTTTGATTCCCTGCTATCCTAACAACTCCAGAACACGTGGAGGGCATCAGGGACTCCAGGAATTCGATCCTAATCGTCCCTTTAGCCTAGAGAAGGATTAATAGGGCAAAAACACCAAATAGAGCCGCTATTCTAACTCCCATTCTCTCTCACTACCTTCAAGTTCTCCAAGAGGACACTCCATTCTTTTGAACTCTCCAGAGATCCCCTCACACTACCCCAGTCAAATTCGGCCGGTAAAAGCTCGTCGGAGGCCATATTCCGACGAGCTTAAGCCAAGGTTCGTCCAAGGCTTGAATCGATCAATCCAGGCATCCCCAAGCTTCGAGGTCTTCTACAAAATGGAGCGTGGACAGCCTACAATTGCAACAATTCAATAAATGGAAAATAAATGGGTAAAACTTTCCATTATATGAGGTATAATATCAAACCCTAGATTAGAATACACTGGTCTATATAACTTTTTAAAATGCTCATATTAAGCCTTGATTTTGACTTCCCAAAATTTCTGTACAATCATACAATTTGAGTTTAAAATTTCATTTAATTTCATCATCGGATTTGAGATAACGAGTTTGCGCGCGCGCATATATATATATATATATATATATATATAATTTTTATCATTTTTTATAAAAAAGGGAAAATTACATTTAAAGAATGCTTAAGGGCCTAAACACTTTCCAAACAAGGCTCTAACCCAAAAATGAGACAAAACATGTCACACCCCAGTTTGACTCACCCTCTACCATGAACTGGAGTATAACAGAGAAAGATTTCAACGTCAAAACTCCACACTTAACAACAGGAAGCATGTAATATACTTTATTGAAGCTCAACATAATTAAAACAAATACAGAGCTCTACTAAAACTTTTAAAATTCATTCACATACCCAAAAGTCTTTACATCTAGCATTCAGATCTCTTGCACCCCAAAACGCACTTACATCAAAAGAACGGTCACCTCTTTTTATTGTCCCAAGGGCTTCTTCCCCTTTCATGCAGTACAATCACTACTAATGAGCTTGACTCAATGAAATATACAAACAAGTTATAAGAAATAATAATGAAACATTAAGAAATACCATAACTATGCTAACATAATTAAAACACATAATGAAATGTCATATTAGCCTGAAAGTGCCTAGCAGTATTATTTATCTTACCAAAACTATTCCACATCTTTAAATAAGTTATAGAATGACTATAAGCTTTTGCACCATTCAACTTTCCAATTCAATGTTGGGTCTAATTTCCCAACTTTTAGAATGGAGGTTGTTCTCTCATTCAGGGTTGAGTCAAATTTCTCAACTTCTAAAATTAAGAGAGTAGGCTTATCTCATTAGGTCTTTCGTCTTTACTTGTGCGGACCTATCCCCCATATATAACTTATTTCACTTTTCATAGTCTTCCTTTTTAGAGCTAATGACATATGCTTTTGATGATATAGTTACGCTTTAACTAATCTTCAGTTACCCTTTAGCTTCCCTTTAGGTGCCATTTAACTGCCCTTTAGTTGCCTTTTAGGTGCGCTTTAGGTGCCCTTTTGGTACACTTTGTGTGCGCTTTTAGTGCACTTTAGGTGCACCTTGTGCCCTTTAGGGTTTCTTTTGGTGCACTTCACTAGTTTATGAATATGTACCCTTTTATGCTTACGAAATCATTCACATTGCTAAAGATTACCCTTTACATAAACAATTTCATACATATACAACCATATTCATACAAAATAATAAAAATCAAATAGAATACATGTGATCATAAACATAATGAAGATGGAGTGCGATAATAAAACATTTATTAATTCTTATAACCTTGTTTGGGTATCTCACCTCATGAGGAATTGGTTCTCCTAGACTCAACATTCTTTTCCTTTTGTAAATAACCTTTACTAAACTTCCTCATTCAACAGCACACATTTTTCAAATTTTGGTCACTAATGTACCAGTTCATTTCTCTATATTCTTGAATTAAGTAACCACCACCTTCAGCTATATTTTAAAAATTCCAAAATTATAATTCAACACAAAGATTACAGAAATTGCTATCACAGATTTTTGAAAGCTTAAAACTCCTACCTCAATTTCATTACCTGATAAATCAACTACCAAGCTTGAAATTCCCACACACAACCCACCTCTTTCAACTCCAGTTCTCCCACGACTTGCAGAGCTTCGTCTCTTGAATGGGAAGGAAAAATAAAATGAATGAATTGCTACAGTTGTTGCTAATATAATAATATAATCATTCCACTAAAAATACATTCTTTATTATAATACTATATAATTAATTCCACTAAGCCACTATACATTAATACTATCCGTTGGATGAAGTATGAGAGAGATCAACCTTTGCATGTCAAGCTAAGTGGATATGCTACAGTAATCATAAATAGGAAAATGGATTATTTGCTTTAGCAATTAAATCATTTATTTAAATTAATGCTAAGTATTATTACAGCTAATACTTTTAATTAAGTGTTTAGAACAAACTCATTTAAATGATAAAATGCCTTTTACATGAATACAGATAATTATACCATAAGGATCAAAATTAAAATTAAAAGCTAATAAAATAATTTGACATTTTCCATATATGAATAAAAAAATAATGAATGATTTTATTGAGAAATAATCCTACTTACTTTAACAAACTTTGGGTATTATAAAACATTAGTTATTATGACATTAACAAGATTGAAGGCATTCACTGACTTAACCCAAACTACTATGACTAAGGCTTCGTTTAGAACGATTTTTTTACTGCTTTCTAAATTAGCTTTCTAGTACAAAAATTTTCAATTTAAAAAATATAACACAAAAGCAGTAATAATGCTATCCCAAATGAAACCTTGGGACAACAATCTTACTGCTTTTAAAAATATTTTGTATTAAAAAATGCTTTAAAAATAATAAGAAATCAATTCCAAACGAATCTTAAGATGATTGGCTCAAATGTACACATCAAGCATGAAGCATGGAGTTGGCATGACAAATTTACTTTGAGAGAGTAATCAAGTTCCATCTTCTTAAACTAATGTGATATTGTTCTACAGTATAGCCTACTAGAAGAAAAATAAATGTGTAATTAGGCTCTGCTTATTACAATTCAAACCCTAAACTTGTACAAAAATGAAAATAGCTTGTAGTTCTTCAACTGCTTGCTTACATAAATCAGGGCATCTTAGCTCCACCTTCAAGCATAGTAACTTTCATGTCTGAGAGTAGTTGAGGAAAACAAGTGTACATAAGAGTATTCATACATATAAAACGTTTAGCATAGTATAGCACCTGCAGAAGATAAATGTCCATCAAATGTGCATAAAATTACAACTAGCATATTACAAGTGCATCACTTCACCGAACTATGAAAAGGGAAAAATAATATAAAACACACTAATGCTTCATTTGAAATGGCTTTCTTATTATTTTCTGAATCAGTTTTCTAATACTTAACTTTTTAGTTAAATAAATTTTTGGACTAAATAATAACTTTAGAAAGCAAGAAAAACGTTGTCCCAAACGAAGTCTAAATCTTAATAACCTAAGCATATACTTCATCATGGTTGTGTGGAAGATCATGTGGGTGAACAATCAAATCAAGGTTTGGTGTTTGAATTTTGATGTTTGAGTGTTAATATTTCAAATTTATTAATCATAAATGATTACAATTTCAATTTTAATTATATACATTTTTATGTTTTATTTATGATTTTTTTAGTTTTATTAAATTTTAAATAATTAAAAAAAAATTTCTTATTAAGGATTTAATAAACCAAAACTGTTAGGCATAATCCAACAAAGGATAGACTAAGCCATGACATGATCTTATTTTTTAGTTTTAAGTGATTTTCAATGCTCTTGAAACTTTAAAATTTTCATGACTTTTTAACATTTTTTTATAATTATTTATTAAAGGTTTTATCGGATTAAAATGTTGTAAAAGGAATCATTTAAGTGACTTTTTGGATGTTTTAATGATTTTCATTTTTTTTTATTTATAAAATTAGATTTTAGTAGTTTAAATACATGTTTGGGCATGAAAATTCCACCAAAATTGAAAAAGATCTAAAATACCTTTAAATATTATTCTTATTATTAAATTTCATGGTTTTAAGTTCAGTAGTTGGCTGGAAAGAGTGCTCTGAGATATTTTGTGCTCTGCTAGGGTTTCGTTGTTTGCTCTCCCCTGGCCGCCACCTCCTCCTCCCCGGGGAGGACCTCCGTAGGGATGTCCTCCTCCATTTTTCCACCTCTCAACCCTCCGCTTCACACCCCCTCATCTTCCTCTCTTCTTCCTCGAGACTGGAAGAGCCTCATCGCTACTCAACCGCTTGTTTCGAACGAGTTTACCTCTTCGATCGCTCACTTCCCTACCGAAAATGCTACTGCTCATTTCACCTCCGCTCAGTTCAACGCGGGTTCTCCTGAATGGGCTTTATCTCTGGTCGGCAACTCGATTGGCCGACGACCGTACTACGAAGCGCTCCTCTCGACGATTAAAAAGGCCTGGTCTTTAAAAGGTTCCCTTACCTTGCTCACCTTGGATGAAGGCTTTTTCCTCCTCAAGTTCAACAATAGAGAAGACTACGATATGGCCTGGTCAGGCGGACCTTGGTTCTTCTTCGGAAAGCCTTTTATTTTACAGAAATGGACCCCCGATTTTGTCCCTGTTAGGGAAGAGTTCCCGTCAATCCCGCTTTGGATCAAGATAAAAAATTTTCCTCTGTCTTGCTGGACGCCTGAAGGAATATCAAAGATTGCGAGCTGTGGGAATCCCGCTGGCTGTCGATGCTCTTACTGCGGCAAAAACGAGACTCACTTTTGCAAGAGTATGTGTCCAGGTTAGCAGTTCTTCTCCTTTGCCGGATGAGATCTACTATACTGTTGACGATAAAAAATTTCCCCTTACTGTGCTCTATGACTGGAAACCGACTCATTGTTCGTTCTGCAACTCCATCATGCACTCCCCTAACACATGCCCCAAAAACCCAGAGCCGAAGTAATCCGAACCGCCTCAGAACCGTGGTAGAAGCACCAGCCGTAAACCTAGGAATTTCCCTCCTAGGTTAAACATCCCAAAACCTACAACTCTCATTACTCCACAAAATCAACCTCTACCTCCACCAATACAGCCTCCACCAACTATTTTCCAACCTCCTTTATTGACCCCTTCCACTGTTCTTATACCAAACCTTAACTCCCCCTCCGAGGACTTCATTCCCACAATACCATCTCCAACCACCACACAATCCTTTACCAATAAGCCTTTACATGACACTTCCACATCCATCCCCATAACCAATAAATTTGATGCCCTATCCAACCGAGACAATCAGGCGGAATCAGCTGACTCCGAGAACCTTGATCAGCAGCCACCTTCCTTCTCTGGCACAGAACTTGGGGGAAAACCTCCTGATCCTTCAAAGTTTCAAAACTCCACCACCAACAAGGATAAACAGCAATCTAATGTGCAAACCTCTACAAGCAACAATCCCAAATCCACAAGAGCAAAATCGGCCAAAAAGGCCAACTCCTCAAATTCAAAGTCCCAATGACCAGGCCGCCTCCTCTTTTTGCGTCCTGGAACACCCGTGGGTTTAATAGCCCAGACAAAGCTCTTTGCTGCAAGAATTTAATCTCTAAATTCGACCTTGATCTTCTTTTTCTATTGGAAACGAGGATTTCTAATAACACTCCGCAAAGCCCTTGGTTCTCCACCTCTCATTCTGTTTTTCCCAATGAAGGGTCCTACGACAACTTTGCTTTTTCTAATCCGGGTAGAATCTGGATTAAATGGAACTCTCTGAATGTGAGCTTTAAGCCTTCTTTTACTTCCAGTCAGCTGATTCATGGCACTGTTTTTAGAGGTATTTCGGATGTTTATTGTGTCTCAGTGGTTTATGCTTCTAATTCTAGTGAAGAGAGACAGAGACTTTGGAAGGATCTGTCTGATATTGCTG